GTATAAACTTTACAAGATAATATGTCAATATGGTGTCCCCAAGTATCCAAAATATCGGTTATTGCATGTTTAAAGTGTTTTCTTAAAATATATGCACATATTTGCACAAACTATATTGCTATTGCTATTATATTTTTTTGTGATTTGTTTTTTAGAGAAGTGTTATGGTTTGTTTTGTGGAAAATGAATTTGACTTCCAGTTACTGGCAAGAAATCAGACAGTTTTTAAACATGAAAATTGTTTTCCTTGTAACTGTTTTTTTTTCTCTTTCTTTTATAATTCAGTGCTTTTGTCAGTTTGCTTTCACCTTGTTTGCGATAGACTCTTGACCTTGCTGGTATTCAGTCACACATCAAGAAATATAAAGTAAATAATATTCTCAATAATATTCTCTCATATTCTTCAGCTCAGTATGCATGCTTTTCTATGGTAAAGAACAATGTTGGAGTTTTTCGACAGTTCCATAATATTGAAGTATGAATTTTATGAGTGGTGTCGACTGTATATGTTCCCAAGTCCTGACAATCTTGGTGAAGCAGGTGGCTTAGTAATTGCTGTCTTAGCAAACAGACCTGACATTTAGGCAACTCTCAGTATGTCCCCAGGATTGTGCTGAGGCTGTAGAGTCAGGAAACCTTGGGTGTCTGCGACAGTCACAGCAGGCCTCACTAATCACGTTACATTTAGCCGTGACAAAGACAAGGCCATGTACAACTGAGATAGATGGATTAAACCAATTTAGTAAGTATGGATTACCCTTCAGTACACTAATCAACTTGATGAGGATGGTCTCGAGAAATACTGTAGAGGGGGAGAATAAGCAGATCACAGGAGATGGATATATGATCATTTTGTTTTGCAAACATGGGCAAAACTTCCACTCTTCTTTAGTTTTTTGCTAATTATTGTTAATTGTGTACCCTTGAGAACAAAAGAAAGTCAGTCACAGTCATTTAGCATATCAGCATTCTTCAGGCCTCATTTATTTCATGGTGTGTACTGTCGATGTTAGTGCCTGTACAGGTATGGACAGTGAAAAAAAATGTAATGTCCCATTATTATATTGGCATATAGGCACTTACAGAACACTAATAACACGGTAACAGAAACTGACACTAATGTGGTGAATGTGGCATTGATCCATAGATACAAGTGGTCACAATTCAATATCACAACAGTCAGATTGAAAGTGTAGTATTTAAATCTGCTTTAATCAATAGTTTGACATTAACAATGAATCAAATGACCACATGTAATCTAAAAGGAGAGGCTCGTAGTGACGAACCCATAAGAGTTCTCAATCAAATTTGTAGTTACCCTCAGTTTTATGGTGCATTTTAGCGTCTTTCAACTCATCATTTTGGTTTATGCAGATTCACAGTTTTGGTCAAGTCTCACTGCTCTTAACAACCTTGTTTCCAGCAACAGCAGGGAGATGTTTCCAACATAAAAGTTCAGACGCACCATTCACTACCTACCCAGCACCAAACAGCACATAAACAAATTTAGCAGAGAGCTGGTGAACATAGTAAAGCAGTGAAGCCATACAGAGTCATATATTTACAAGCGAAAAGTGAATTTTGGACTTGTATTCATCACCTCGCCACAAATACAACTTCAAAATAATATGAATACTAATGAATGCGATGAATGAACGCCAATGTCCCTATAACAACTTTTGAAGGTGATAGTATGCCATTGTTGTGTTTACAGCTTGTTGTGCTGCCTCCAAGTGGTCAAAAATATATTTTAATGATTGGTACATTATTATTTGTTCATGAGATGTCTATTTTAGAGATTTTATAACCTGTACTTTGAGCAAAATAAATGTATGTGATCATGGTTACCTCATTTTTTATGAGCTTGATATGTGCTATGCATCTGAGAGGTTAATCTGCATGCAAGTAATTACAGGTGTATTTTGTATAGCACAAAATACACATTGCCTTGGAAATAAAGTTACGTAAAAGTATAAAATCTCAAAAATGCTCAACTTGTGCTCGTAAAATATTTTGTGTATTCTCTTGTGAGGACCATTCAGTAACATGTCTTTCTAATTCATGCACAATTAGTAATCCAAAATGTCCCATTTCAGCTTTAAAGCATCAATTATAATTTTTCATTGAGGAGAAAAGACTATCTCAGTTCTCATAAAAAGGCTGTATTTGATCTATGAAAAAAATATCTAATCAACTAACTGCAGAAGTTATGTCTGTTAATTATATCAAGTCTTTAATTTTCATAGCACTGAATGTTCTAGTTATGGGGAAGTACATCTGCACTGTCAATTGAGTAGTATCCTCAGGAATGTTCTGAATAGCAGGGGAAAAGAGTGTGTGTTTTAGTCAAGGCCCTTCTGGACTTTTTAATGGACACAGTTGCATGGTGTAGTTCTGCTGCCTGAGCGCTGCTAATAGACTGAAAAATGGAGGTGCCATGCTGTTGTGCCTATGGATAGAATTACTTTAACATTTCTGTCACGCGGAAAACTTTCTCCCTAGTGTCCATACATTAGAAAAAATTGTGAAATCCCATTGTGCTGTTTACTCACATAACAGAGACTTTTGCCACAGTAACAGCTATAATATGTGCTGCAAACGTGTCTCTTGAATGCTCACTGTAAATACTAAAATATAGATCAAGTCCAAGTATTCTTGTCAAATAAAGTATTAATTTTCTGGTCAAAACATTTTTGAGAATATGTAAGAAAATACTAAAGCAGTAACTCCTTCGATGCCCGAATAACATTAGTATGCAGAAGTCGTTATTACAGGCATGACTACTTGGGCCGCAATTGATTTAAGCCACATATGAACTTGCGATTATCCATTCAAGGAGTCATTTCAGTCATATATGTCACATTAGCATAACAAGCAGGAGAAACCTGAACAGTAATCATCTGTATCCTTTTTACCATTTGGGTGTAAAATCTGCAACATACAGTAGAAGGACAGTTTATTACTATCACATAAAACAGTTTTAATACCTGTGTTTCAGCTGCTCAGTCTTGTATATATGTGTGTGTGTGTGTGTGTGACAAAGAGATAGGTGAGTAGTGTCTGGGGGAGGGCTGTGTAAAGAGAAGCTATACCAGGAGGAGGAGGAGAATGGAAGAGCGGTTGAATCTCATTAACTGCATATCTATTCTGATCACGTTGCCATATTGAATTTTCTCGAAATAGTGTATTTTATTGTCCTCTTCATCCTCTGGACAGATTGGTTTTTCCAAGGGGCTGCTGATTTCATGTAATGATAGTGCGACAACACTTTTGTCATCACCTATATTTCACAAGGAGAGGCAGGAGAGTGAATGTATACAGTTGGCTTCATTGGGGGAAGGTGGTTATGGGGCAGGAAGGCAGAGAGGGGAGGGAGGCTCTAGTGGCGATGCCATGGCAAAAAGGCAGTTGTGTGTTTTTGAATTTGTTGCTCTGCCCTTGATCCTCTACAGATCAAGGTAAAGTAATGATGGTTTCTTCCTCCCCCTCTTGCCCTGTTGTCTTTCTGCAGCTGTTTATCAGGTACTGATTGAGCAGCTCTTCAGATGGTGGATGACAATGGAGATGGCCCTGAAAGCGCAGATTGCTTCCAACAGGTGCTGCATTGAATGTTTGGTTCCAAGAGTGCCTTGAAAATAATGATGTACAAGCTGCACTCAGCTAAAACATTATCAGTCATAAGGACCACTGGCTCTTTGAGGCCGGCTCTCACTCTCTCATACATGTACATGTGCATAGGTACTTCATTAGGAGGTCAGAGTGCAGGTTCAGCTTCAGCAGCTGAAGAACATTCAGTGTCTTGTTCAAGCAAAAATTGTGGCAGGTTGTCACAGGAATGAGACCCTGGCCCACAGATAAAACTCAATTCAATTCAATTCAATTCAATTTTATTTGTATAGCGCCAATTCATAACAGAAGTTTAGTGTTTTAGTAACTGATGATGATGAACATT